CCTGCTTCAAGCTTAATAGCAAGTTTCCTATCTTTGGTTTGTTCCTTTGTGTAGACTATTTTTTGGGAAATGATTGTGATTTATGCCTGCTTTTATGGAGTAAATTAATTCTGTGATAATTGCTCCAAAATACTTTGTGAAACCTCTCCCTTGCAACAATCCTTACCATCAAAGCTATGTTTTCTAACCATAATGTAATATATTTAGATACTAACTTAAAGCATCTTTTAAAAATCATAAACTTGGAAGACAAACAACATTCATGTTGTAACTTCTGGACTCAAAGGAAAATGAGGGAAATTATAAAGCACTCAATTTTTGGAGAGAGTTTAAAAGCACAGCGCTGTTCCTCTCCTGTTTCCACAAAATCTGTCACGCTATTTCCTATCATTTTTCTTTCATTTTGCTCTTTAAAGTACTCATACTTTGGGTTTCTCATGTAGGAGAAGCCTTGAGAGGGACCCGAGGATGGAGAAAGGTGCAGGAGAGGAGGGGAAGGAAAGTAAATAGGATCAAAATGAGTTAGGTACGTGCACCAACTCCCCACAGCGAGGTGACGAAAGTACCCATTAGGTCTCACAAAAATACATTAATAAAAATTATAAAAATGTTAAGATCACAGCGTGTGCTTACATTTCAGACACAAGAGCCGCTGCCCCAGGATTATTAGGGAAGTTAGGCTTTGTGGGCGGGGAGGCGGACATCAGGAGCTCGGCTACTGCCACTGTGAGAGATGCAGAGACAGGTTGTGAAAAGTAGACAGACAGGCGGCTGGACGCCAGACAGCAGGAGAGCTGTAGATCCTAAAACACGAAACACAGATGCAGTATAGTGATAAATAATAAGCTGCACTGAAAGGGAAAAATACAAACTGTTGAGTAAGAAGAGAAGTAAGCAGGTGGTAGAGCCTCAATAGTAGAGCCTTGAGCACTTTTATGTTCAAGGCTCAGGCACAAGAAAACAAGAAGTACAGTGAGACCTTAGCAGTGATTCTCTGCGCACTAATGGCAAAGGACCAGTTCTGTTAAAAACTGTCTTTTCCTCTCTTTTTTACAATAACAATTACACTTTTGGGGTTTTATTACTCCCATAGAAAGTGGCCTACAGGATATATCTGCATGTATATTTAAGTGTGTAGGATAGAAAACCCTATTACTGAGTCTTTGTTGGATCATTGAACAGAACTGTCTGCAATCTCACTGTATGAATGTCCACTTTGTATGCTTTAATTTAGTAATTTGGACAAATGTTTCTAAGATGACAATATGTAATCTATTAACTAGTGATTTCTTACTGTATATTTTTTTTCTTAAAATTCTGTACTACTTGTACTCTTTTACTGCTTTTTTTCCTCTTTTTTCTCTTTAAATAAAAAAGAACTTTATTCACTCATAGACCTGTTCTTTCATAAAATACAATAAGAATAATTACTCAAGCAATGGCAAAAAATAAGGATAGGCAAAATTCAGGCCCAAGTTTTATTATTCCATTCAAAAGACATACAATTGCACTTTAATAAATACACTCAGAACAAAAATAGCACTGAAACAAGTTCCTGCATGCTGAGTCTTACTTTTAGGCACTGAATTCAAAATAGTAACAGTGAACTCAGCTGCGCATTCTAACAGTGACACACATAGCTCAGTGCTGTCCCTGTAATCGAAAAATACGCATACACACCAATGCATGGAGAATAAAGAAGTACATCTTAAATTTGTTAGAATGGTTGTTTATTAAGGGGAGGTTGGGAAGGAAAGGAAATGTCAATAAAGGAGGATCAATAAATAAATTAAGAGCGAGATCCAGGTTGAGCTTGGTGTGCATGCTTGTATTCTCAGCACTCTGGGAAGCTGAGGCAGGAGGATCAAGAGGATCAAAAATTCAAACACAGTCTGAATAATGTATTGAGTCAGCAAGAACTGGTCTCAAGCTAAAAAATAAAAAGGGGCTAGTGATATAGGTCAGTGTGAAGGCCGTGGGTTTCCTTCCCAGTAGGAAAGAGACAGGCTGAGACACAAAGTCAGAAACAGAGACTGATCCAGCACAGGCCCATGAGAATGGTGTTTGGCTGTGATTAGCTCAGCTTCTGCACACACACGTGCCCCACGCACACACACACACTGAGGTAATGAAATTTAATAGTCTTCTCTGCACCCGAATCTCTTTCCCCAACTTATTTTTCACACGCTTTGACTCCTGTTACTATCTTAAACGTTTTCCCACTCACCTGTTCTCAGCTATGATAAACTGCTAAGAGATTGGGCAACATGTTTTCTTCAGGGTTAAATGTATACTTTGGTTTTCACTCTTATCATCAAATAAACCAAAGGTGTCTGATATACTTCTCATGACTACTTTGTACCTGGTTAAAGTCAGAGTGGAAAAGTTGAAGACCCTGAAAAGATCTCAGACTCACTACTGCGCTTAGAATTCGTCCTTCCCACTCACACTCAGCCTGACACACATCTGAAACGCAGCCTTTAAAGTAGAACCATCAAGTTTCAGAAGAACTGGAAAAAGCTACAACACTTTAAAAGCCAATTTTTAAGGTGGTAACACTTTAGAAGTCAATTTTTAAAATGTTACCAAAGTTGATATTTAGCTAATAAGAACTTATTCCCACCCATTGAATTGAAAGTGCAGCCCTGTAGCAGTATGACTTGAAATTTTGGCACCAAAACTTTTGTTGTTTCTCCTCCTCCTTCCTCCTCTTCTTCTCCTTCTTCTTCTTCTTCTTCTTCTTCTTCTTCTTCTTCTTCTTCTTCTTCTTCTTCTTCTTCTTCTTCTCCTTCTCCTTCTCCTTCTTCTTTTTCTCCTTCTTCTTCCTCCTCCTCCTCTTTTTTCTCTTCTTCCCCTTCCTCTTCCTCTTCCTCCTTCTCTCCTTCTTCTTTTCTTCTTCTTCTTCCTCTTCTCCTTCTCCTCTTCCTCCTTTTTCTCTTCTTTTTCCCCTTCCTCTTCTTCTCCTCTTCCTCCTCTTCCTCTTCTTCCTCCTCCTCTCCTTCTTTTTCTTTTGTTCTTCTTGTTCTTCTTCTTTCTCTTCTCCTCCTTTTCCTCCTCCTCTTCCTCCTCCTCCTTTTCTTCCTCTTCTTCTTTTTTTTGCATTACTGGGCATTGGACCTGGCCCCTTTTTCCTCTTCTGATTTATTTTGAGACAGGTTCTTGACAAGTCTCTATGTCACCCAAGCAGGGCTCCAATTATGACCCAATTATGATCCTGCTTTCCTTTGAGTGCTGAGATTACGTCTCTGCTCTTGTTTCTTACTGTGCTCAGAATGGAGGCCCAGGGCCCTCACAAGTGCTACGCAGTACACAAATGCCCTACCATGGAGCTAACTCCAGTCACTTTCTCCTTGCAAGTTTCTCCTGTGAGTTTTCCAAAATGTGAGACCCTGCACCTCAGCTTTGTGTTGAGTCTCCTGATTTTGCAGGAAGATGAGTTTCTATACTCTTGGAAAGTAAAAGGGAGAGATGAGCAAGAAGTATCTCTGATTGGAGCAGTGAAGAAAAATTAAAGGAGGCATTTGACCGACTTCTCAAGACAGTCTTTTCAATGTCTACTTTGTGAAGACAAGTTCATGCCGGTGTGGAAGTATTTTTCATGCTTTATTTCCCAAACAGTAGCCTCTTGATACTCACCAGTAGATATTTATAACTAAGCAAGTGGGAATTTGAGGTGAATCTGTCTTTCTCTGGGTTTTATAATTGACTACAAAATTAAAATATACTTACTGTAACCAGTCAAAGTATATGGCAATAGCCAAAGAAAAGTTAGGGGTCCCTTCCTACTGATAGATTAGCCTGTCTAACGTTCAGAGCCATGTTGTACACAGCTCCCCCAGTGGATTTCATAGATATACAAAGGGTATCCTGCTTAACTCTGATTTTAGAAGTACTGTAGTTTGGAGCCCAACATGGTAGAAACAAGGAAGATGGCTGGATCAAAGAAAATAAAAGAGCAGAAGGAAGCTGTTGCCCTTGCCCTGAACCAGAGGGAGGCCATTGCTATAAAGAAGGAAGTGACAGCCTAAGTACTTAGGTGTGGACTTGACAGCTCCATTAATAACTGGGTATGGGGAGGAAAGACTGAGGAGGCTGGAGGCTGAGTGCCTCTCGGGGACCTGAGACCTAGGAGGGGAGAAGGGGGTGGGGAGAAGGGGGTGCTAAGGACCTGACATGCTCCCTGCACCCAATCCAGCAGCTCAGACTGCTGAATGAATGAGCTTGGGGTACCTGAGCGAATGAGTGCAGTGAGCAAGGAACCCACGTCCCCATCCCAAGTTGAAGTACACCCACAGGGAGAGCCGCACTTCAGGTTTTTCTTTATGTCCCCTATCGGTACGGTAAAACCAGAGCTCCTGAGAAACGGGCAGTGATAATCAGAAAAGAAAATGCAGAGATAAAGAGAATCTATTGCCAAAGCTCAGGGCTCCTGAGGAACCAGAGCTTCCCCTCATAAAGATAACTCCCATTGTACATAGCCAGCCTGACACCAAGTTACACAGACTTACTGGCTCCTTAGAAAGTTAGCATTCTGGGGACTCAAGCTGCTAAAATTCGAGTATCTCTGGTTCCCCAGGAAAATACCACTATATTCTTCTCACCTCCACGATTTCCAGTGAAGCATGAAAAGATTGCTCCCTGACTCTCTCTGCTGCATCAGTACCCCTAGAGTGCCACACAGGAGCCAGTCCTGGGGTGCCCTCAGTGGCCCTCTGCCTCTGGCTGCCCCTTGAATACCATGCTTCTTAGTTATGTGTCTGCAAACTGTGCTTCTCTGCTATCATCAGGATGTCACTTAGAGCTCCTGGGCTTTGGATGCCTTCTGTCCCCTGGAGGGCAAAGCCAGGGTTTTTGTTTCCCTTGTGTCTCCCTGTGCCCCAGAGATCAGGTACAATGTTTAGCACAAAGTGAGAGCTTGGGCACTACCCATGATTGCCCCGCCGTAATAATGGCATTGATGAAAAATGGTGTTTCCAGCTGCCAATAAACGACACCATATATCTAGTCTTAGGAAACACAGTGTTTATTGAAATGCACATAGATAAATTATCGCCGGCAGAAAACTGCTAATGGAGTTTTCAACATGAGTTGGTTTATTCTTAAAACGATGTGAGGCTTTGAAAGTCCATTGTCCCATAGGAAAAATACTCTATTTCTTTGTTCAGATAAAATCCTTTAAAAAAGCAAACCGCTTTTGAAACTGTCTTTTAAACGTCTCCAGCCTATGAATACATAATAAAACAAAAATATATTAAAAAGATGTAACTCTTTCTGTTTAGTAAAAGAATTAAATATGAGTGCTTTTAGGAGTCATACACATAGGAAAATATTTTAATCGCTAAAATTTTCTATTTTATTAGTATTCACTAAAATTTTAAAGAAATGTTATCAAAACATCAAACCAAACATGACAAGTGATCCTAACAATGTAAAAAAGTCAATAACTTTATTTTTACATATTTAAGAGATACATTAAAATATTAGCTTCTCAAATAAACCATTGTTACATAACTCGGATTTCAGTAATTTGGGAATGTAGTCCAAAGGTAGTTTTAATATCTATGTAGGACTGAATATCCTTTAAGGAGAAGCACAGTTAATAAATACAGCAAGAGAACATAGGAAGACAGAACCTTCCTGGCACTCTGTGTGAGTGCCTGGAATCAGGGGTTAATTCACTGTGATCACCTCGGCCCAAGACTTAGCTTTATTCATATTCTATCTCAACATGGTGCACGGGGCTGACCTTCTTGGCTCCTCCCAGGTGGTGCTGCTGGTCATCTCCGATGTTCAGTCTGTTGAACGGGATTACCTTCATCGTGGTCTCCTTCATGGAATACCAGCGGGATTTCCAGGTGGCCCAAATAATGCCATTGTCATAACCCTTAGGCGTAGACGCTTTGGAGTAGGTGCCACCTAAAATGAAGGGGAAAATGTGTGTAACATTGCTCTTGCATTTCTCTATCTCAGACAGTCTGCAGAGGACTAGTATGCAGTGCACTGACAGTTACATCAACTTACAGCACTACATAGAAACCGAAAATACCCGTCAGGGTTCCTAGAATCCCAGTTCATAATTAAAATAAACAACTGTTTACAACCCCCGACATCTAACTGTGTTTCATGGTCACACTACTGCCAAGGTAGGGCTGGGACCCCAAAGTCCTCCGCCCGTCTCCCCTGACATTTGGCCTTCCTGGAGTCAGCTACTATGTCCACTCCGTCCCTGGCTGGTTAGAGCAGCAGGGCCCACAGGATTCCCGATCCACACAGTCTGATGCTACCTCACATCATCAATTCACTGGTTAACTGAGGAGACTCTGAGGGACTTTCCACAGTGGCTCTGGAATGGAGGTTTACATCTGCATCATAAAGTGGAGATTGGGTTGATTGACTTTCTGTTCCTGGGCACTAGAGCTCATGTAATTTTGTAAGTTTTACGCTAAAGTGGATGATAGGTTATCAGTGGGATAACCCTGGGTCTGATGGATCCAGCAACTCCCCTGAGACTTTCTTCTAATTGCAGGATTCGTGTATTTCTCCAATTAAAAAGTGTTGTAGAAAGCAAAAGTTTAAACAGTCTTTGGGAGGTCTCCAATTTGGTAGTCCACTAGGGCTGTGCCCTTGGGCTGTGAGGCTGCCCATCGGTAGATGAAAAGAGTAGGTTTATCTTGTCCCCCCCCAGTGGGCCTGTTAGCAGTAAGTCAAGTCGATGTTGCATGCCATCTGGCCTTAGGGAAGCCATCGCCTCCCTGAGCCTACAGGAAGAGTCTGTGACCCTGAGGGCAGCTCCATCTCTGGAGCTTCCAGGAGCCCCAGCCCTCCTGGGCTCTGTTCCACCTCTCCCCACACCCACTCACTGCTCACTGGTTGTGTCAGGCACACAGCTCATGAGAAACTGAATCCAGCTAATGTGCTAAGGAACAAAAGTACAGGAATGTCCATCCATGAGATCACACAGGAGTGCGGGTGGAGTCAGCCCAAAGTTCCAACTCTGATGATGATGGGCAATGGCCTCAGGTCCAGGGACAAGACGCTGGATTTTTACAGCAGGTGGTAGTCTTGGAGGAGGGCCCATTTTAAGCATAAATTTGGTGTTACTCAACTCTGGTTTCAGATAAAGAGCTACAGAATTAAAGTCTCCCATCATTACACATTTGTCACATCTGCCCATTACCTTTCTTGAAACAGGTGATGCACACTGAGTCTGCACCTGAGGAAGAGGGTCGTACCTTGGTAATAAACTCCGTTGAGGTGGCCAGCGTGACACTTATTCATCCACCAACCAGAGCCATCCTGTTCTGCACAGTTCCCTTCAAACTTATCATTGTCATTGTCCCAGGTACTGAACTGCATGCCATTGTGGGAAGTGAAGAACTTGTCACTGGGATCATCACCAAAATCATAGCCATCGAAGGCATCGCCGGCATCTCCGCTGATGAAGTAGGTGTAGGTCAGGCGGTATTTGTCGGTCTCGGGTGCCACCCTGAACGTGGCATAGTCTGCAGTGCTGTGAGGTAGGGGACAGGGACATCAGGTACTGAGGCTTCCTTGGAGACCTCACAGGTTCCCTCTTCCATAGGGCACATCTGCTGGAAGTGTGCTATTTTGCTCCTTAGGGCCGAAACATAAAGTGTTTTGCAGATAAGGCATGAAGGATGGATCCATGTACTAGTCTAGGGCTCCTCAGTGCCACCTGGGATGGGCTAGCAGCCTCCCAGGCATCCCAGGGGAAACTAAACCTTCAACTATTTGAATGCTTTTTACTTTTAGGTCCGAATACCAAATCAAAATGCACAGATGAATCCAACTACTGTCTTATTTTCCACTTTCAAATTTTAGCACTGCACACACATCAGAGATTACAGTAATAATCTGATGGCGAGTAACCGTTAATTAGTACCCTAAACCTCGAGGAGATACAGCTCCATGAGCCCCTCAAATCACTTGAGGAGTGAGGTCCTAGCTGGGTGTATGTTTCCCAAGAAAGAAGGTTTGCTAGCACATCACAGAAACAAATACATCCCTGTGATCTACAAAACACGAGGAGTAGGAGTCACAGAGAGATTCCTTTCTAGGAGACATGGCGAAAGAAGCCAGGATTCTGTGGAGTAGGGAAATATGGGCCTTGGTGAATGAACAGGGATGTCCAAAAATATTTAACCTGTTTCCTAACCTCTGGCACTTGGGAAATAGGGGCCATGCTCATAAAAGAAGGTCTATTGACTATGGTAATTTCTGGGTTTGAAAATATCCTGTGTTTGGAGATATCACATGTATTATTATTCCATAAGCATAACAAGAGAGCTGGGTATTTTTACAGTACCCAAATATCTCTGGGCCTAGAGGACCTCTAGACCACCAAAGGAGCCAGCAAACGGAATTCCAGACCCACCTATGATTTGACAGAATGAGTAACCAATGAATAGGAAATATGAAGAGGCTGAATTCACTTTTCAGTGAAGACAGTCATCTAAAGGCTGAGTTCCAGGGTCAAACTACCTGAATTCAAGTCCCACATCTATCATTTACCAGCAATATGACCTTGGGAAAGGTCATCTGTAAACTGGGATTAATAATGATACCTCTCTCTTAAAATAGTTATTTGGATCAGATTAAATCTAATTTCGTGACCAATTCTGTACCTATTAAAAGATCAGCTATGAGTCTGCATGCTTCCAGGGTAAATAAATTATACCACAAGAAGCAGATCCAACACAGAAAGCATAATCTGAATCCTGGGGAAAATGACTCTGGATACAGTCTTTGCTTTTTCAGGCTGTGTTTGCCATGGGCCTGATGACAGGAAAGCGAAGGGCCTACATGACCTCTGCCACCAAAGGTTAGCGGTCCTCTCTCCACAGTACCTGGTTCTGCCACTCCAGTCTTTGAGTTCCACCCGTAATACATATGGGATTGAAGACTGGGTGCTTATCAAATGAATCTTCTCATTTCCCAGCCAGAATTCTGTGGTGCCAGTAGGAGAGAGATGTCCAAAGCCTTCTTTATACTGAATCCAGTTCTTCTTGAAATCAACACTGCCATCCAGCCTCTAATTACAGAAGGGTACGAGCAAGAGGAGAGGACCGACTATCAGTTCACATAAAGGAAATATTATCAACATCCCATCAAAAATATGTAAGATAGAATTCTATCAACTATCAACTCAGCGGCCCCAGGCCAACAGCCTCTTTTTTCCTCAACTGTCCAATAGGAGTCACTGTGCTCACTTCTTAGGGTTGCAGTGAGGAGCACATGAAAGACACAAAGGAAATGCACTCATGACTGCCTAGAGCATGGCAAATTCTAAATCAGTGGTAGGTTTTTAACAAGAGCCTGGTGGGCTTTGGTGCTCAAGCCGGGTAACACTGGTCCTTGCAGCCTGGTGCGGTGGGCGCTCTTGCCCTGTGCACACCCCTGCAGGAGGAGGAGGGACTGTGACAGTGGCAGGAGATAGAAGAAAAGAAAGGGGCTGGATCCCCAGTGGTGCCACCATGGGCAGGAGCACAGGAGCTCCTCCTCTGGGGAGGAGCCGCAGGGCAGTGTAAGGGGAGGGCTTAGCTCTTAATCCACCTGGAGAATGGGTCCCTTCTATTTCATTGCCACTAAGGACTTTGTGCTGTCGTGAATTTACATCAGTCTTACCAGCCACCTAGGGTCAAAGCACAGACTGAAACCAGGCTAGCTGGATTCCAATCTGACTCCCCGACTTAGTACTTAGGGGATCTGGGGTAAGCTACATAACCTCTCAGGTCTCCTCTTCCTGCTCTGTAGCTAAGAGTGACATCTATTTCGCACCAGGCTCTGGCGAGGTTAAGGTTTGCCAGGTGCTTAGAAGAGATCTGGCCCATGGCGGACACAGCGCGACCCCCAAGATGTCTGTATGGTGGGGAGGACACTACCTTCTGTAGCACAGTCCACCCATTGCCGTTTCCCTCGATTTCACAGTAGACCAGGAACTGTTGGCTGGCCTTCAGAGGCTTGATGAAGTAAAGTCCACTCTCCTTGGCTCCCTTGTTGGCAATATCTTGACAATCTGAAGAAGAGGGAAGGGAAGCGTGAACTAGGGCTTGAGATCTGGGTAAGCCTGGACCAGCCTCAAGACTGAGTTTCAAGACTGAGTTTTGAACCTGTTGTAAATGATCCATCTCCAAGGAAGTATTTTTCTTCTCCATTTCATCATTGTTTTCAAACTATTGTTTGCTACTCAGGAAAAGTCTGGCCAGTTGGAATCCTTAGGGCGGAGGCCCAGGCACTTTCCCAGGTATTCCCATCCACCCACCTCAGTGCACCCAGACTCCGCAGTTTTGATGGATCTGACCCAAACACGGCTGCTCACCTTTCCCAGTTAAGTCGTGGATTTTCACTGTGTCCTTGCATGGCTCTTGGCACTGCTCTTCCAGCTGGGCCACCTTTTGCTTCAAGTTCATGATTTTTTGATTATTGGAAACATACATTTCCTGTAAAAATCTACAAATGGAATAATGACAGGAAACAAGATATTCCTTTCAGAGGATCAATTCTCTATTTTCTCTTTGAAATTCTACCTTACTCTTTCAAGAACCCTTTCCTTATAAATTATACCCTTTTTGGGAAACTGTAAAATTATATTATTAAACTGAAGTGAATTAAAATACCAAGGTTTTTGGAAACTCCTCCCCAGAGTCAATTAAAAGAGAAATATAATTTTTCGAATCTTTTTATCCTAGGATGGAGGATGTGGTTCTAACTCTGAACACAAATAACAAAGTCCTTGTCAACATACAAAGGTCACTCTAAGTGGCCATTCTACCTTTTACCTTATAGATGAGGGGCAGCAGATAAGAACCTACACGAGGGCATTGCCCAGCTAAGGGAAACTGGGGACTCAGAAGCAGTCATTCATGCATGCTGGAGTCTTAGTCCTTCTCCTTGTGAGTCTACTGAGGGTCCTTCTGTGGACGTCTATCTGTAACTTACATAGGAAACTTAAGGACTGTAACTTAAGGACGGAAGCACCATCGTACATATGATAAAATAGACATTTTCTCACTCTGCTAGTGTTTGTAGTTACATAGTTTTGGAGAAGGCCTAGAGGAATTTTAGTAAAATCCTATGCTTGCAGTTTCTATGGAGTTGCAAATTTCAGAGAAGGTAGAACACTACTAGAAAGCATAAATCTGTATGCCTTTCTTTGATATATAGAAATGGAGATAAACTATTGGTTCACTTTCTTTAGTTAGTTTTAGACAATTTCTGTACAACTGTCTCTTTCAAGGATAGGCTCTATAATGCTGGTTATAATGACAATAATCATGATAATGGTAACAATGGCTTTTTGATACCAAAAAAGGGAATGTCTCTCCTCAGCCACCATCAATCACAGTCTGTCACTCAGCTGTGAGTTTGGTTTAAGAAAAAAAAAAATGGGGAGAGAGAATGAAGCTGTGTCTGAGACTCTACGCTCAGAGAATTTCAGGGCCTGGAAGCTAGGGATATTTTCCTTACAAATGGAGGATACAGTATCTCAGTAATGGACATGATTTATATGTAATTCTGCAACAGTTTGTTAAACTTAATCTCTTCAAATGTGTTTTTTTTTTTTGCTCCACTTCCAATAAAATTTAGTAGTCACTATCTTTCTTCCTTTACTTGCTCATGTCTTACTATCAGTCAGTTGACATTTTTATAAAGAGAATTTTGTCTGCAGCACACAAATTCCTTCCTCCACTGAGTTAAAGGTAAGCATAACATCAATTGAATATTATAAATTTTTTTAAATCCCAAGAGTACTTTCCCTTAAACATGAAATAATAAAAACTAAGTCAGTCTGGGAGAACAAATTAAAAGCAAGATGCTTACTGAATACTTGAGTCATGTGTTAAAATCAGTGCTTCGTATTTCATGATTTCCTCTATCATCTTTTTGTAATTCTGTGTAGCACTCTCTATTGAATCTGCAACATGGAATCAGAGACAGAAAAACACGTTAGCAAGCAGGACGAAAGAAACAACCACAAAATAATTTCTTGGGTGACTTCCTCCCTCAGGCATCTTCAGTCCCTCACCTGGCTTTAGTGATTCGTTCGGGATGTAGCTGATTTGGATGGCCTTGATCAGTTCTTTGGTTTCTGTTGTTCTGTTATCCACTAGGTGGAAGAGGTCCTCCAGGGTCTGGAGGTCTTTGTCTACAGATGTTTGGTAATTGGACAGGAACTCCGCAATGCCACAGGTGGTGGGGCAGAAGCTGCCCTGAAAGAGAATATTGATATAATGAGGCATTTAAATGAAAGTACCACTCAGAGCCTGCTAACAAAAAAGTAAATCAAGATTTTATTTTAGAGACCTTTAAGTACCAAATGCTATTTGTCAAATAACTGTTTCAATTCTGCTTCCCTCTCCAATCAAAGCAGAAAGCAAGTCACATAAAAATAACTTACAAATCTTTGGTCTAAGATGCAGCAGTTTTCTTTGGTGGGGACATACTAAAAGAGAAAAGCACAGATATTTCACTAGTTTATCAGACTTCCTTATTTTTCAGCTTCCCACTTAAAATATATGTTTCTGGATCAGCACACTTACTCCCAGGCATGTTGAAGAGAGCAGTAAGAGACAGGAGAAGTAAAGAATTGAACTCCGTGGGCTCAAGGACCAATGCATGGTTTCTGGGAGCTCGGTATTCCGAGCCTTGTTCTCAGCTCTGTGACCTCTCGGGCTCTGTCTGTCCCTTTATGTGAGCTGCAGGGCTGGCAGGGGCTGTGAATGGCCAGCACTAGTCACGGGGGCTCCTTACCAGAAGGGTGGGGAGGTCCTTCCCGTCTCTTTTTCCTCATCCTGGCTCCAACCTATGCCTTGTCAGGTTCCCAGATTTTACACACAGTCTTCAGCTCCTCCTCTTTTTTTTTTTTTTTTTTTTTTTTTTTTTTTTTTTTTTTTTGGCTCAGTCCAATCCCTTTTCCCTGATCCAGAATCATCTCCAAAGCCTGGTGAAGCATTAGCCACTGCTATGAGGGAGAGGGCCACCTATGTGACACAACTTCTTCCTGGACATGGCCAAGACAGCAAGCACAAATCTGACCTCTATCAGAACGAGTCCAGCCACCCTTAGATGGGCCTGTGCCACCCCAAATTACTGAAAGATCTTTCTTGGCCCAGGGATGGGGTAACATTTAGCTATTTTTCACTGTGGTTGTGAGAGCAGGTAGCTCCATCTCCCCTGTGCACCAGGTCCCAGTGAGGCCAGGCAGGTATTCCCACCTGTGTGGTGCCAGCCATGTTCTAAGCCTCCCTTGCTGCTTAGCTTTCTAGCTCTATTTTCTCTCTAACAGGAAAAGCAGGCTGACAGGGAACCCTACTGCCACAAAGGGAAAGGGGCAAAGAGTTCCTTTGCTTTCTCAGAGGAAAACCTGGATACAGAAGCCAGGGCCTGGGAAAATCTGCTTCCCAAATATCTAACCATCAGCTGAGGAAAAGAGGTGTTAGGGGAGTCTACCCTTTTCATCCTGACCCCAGAGCTTCTTTGTCTGTTAGGGAAAGACATCTGTCATCACCTGCTGAGAATTTACAATTGTGCACTGTTATTAATGTCCTAAACGTTCATCGTGGCTTATTTCCCCTCTGACATCAAGCCTACTGCAAATGGATGAACTGCAAGAGCAGCAGAAATGTATTTAGTCAGAAAGAAACGTTAACCCTTCAGTGCTTGAATCTGCTTCTTTCAAAGGCATGCTTACTTTTGAAATGAAAACAAAGATAGATCCAGCTGGTGGTGTAGCTCAGTGATAGAGCACTTGCCTAGCATATGCAAGGCCCAGGGTTTTACCCTTAGCACTGGGAAAAAAAATGTTCATTCTCTGCAACTAATTGATAACTGCTATAATTATGTAACTCCATAGGAACTGTGTTCCTTGTCTTTTCTTTTTGGCTTTTTCATTATTACTAATCTGATCACCATACTAGCAGCTAATTAAAAGTCTGGTGATGTATCCGCTTCAACTTTCCTTTACTCCAACTACTGCTTGTTCCAAACCACTTGTTGATCTTCCTATAAAAAAAGCTTCTTCTAATGAAGCTCTGTTTATGACATGCACCAGCTCAAGGACACTCAGCATCTCCCTATTCCCATCATAGCCAATCGAACATCGTGAACATCGTGAATAAACTTTTCCCATCCTCACTGCTGCTTCGCTTTTGATAATACTTCCTAAAGCCTCTGCCTAGTCTATTCAGATTGAATCATATAACACTCTCTGCTGTGTACCACAGAGTCATAGCTCTGGTTGTTCTTACTGTGTCTTGTTTTGGTTTGCTATGGTTTTGGGTTTTTTTTGTGTGTGTAGCTTTTTCTCAGCCTACTTTGCCTTCATTCACCCTCCTGAATCTCTGACTCTCAAAATTCTACACAACATTTAAGTTTTGTTTCACTGCCCTCCCCCCAGCCCCCCAAAACCCCTGTGAATCAACCCTAACCTTTTGTAGTATTTATAGCAACTTTATTCACGTTATATCAATCTAATTAGAGGTAAGCATACGTCTGTAACGATAGCATCTTGCATAACAGAATTTAGGTCTTTAATTATGCAGTTGCTTCAACTGAATTGGGCTAGAAATGATCTCTTAGGGTTTATACTTTAATACCTTTCAAAACTTCCAAGTTACAAAAATAGGTGACTTTGAGAAGGATGATGCTCAAATTAATGATTGGATGTTATATAAAAAATGAAGCAGATCATCTACTCACAGGGAACAATTTCCGACGTGCTTTGTTAAGGAATGACAAAAAGCACTCATTGCATAATTTGTGGAAATTTCTCCTAAATTAATTCTACAAATCAAAGGCCAAGTGATCCTAGAGCTAGTGGTGTGTCTTGTGAGATATGTATTTGTCCTGCCAGTGCCTGTGTTTAGGTAACATGTGTCACACAGCATAGAGACATCACGTATGTTCTCTCAGTGAACAGAAAACACTGACTTGTTGAATTCAAGGTTAACCACTAACGTGCCACAGGTTGGGGTTTGATCTTCTTCATGAAGTGTAATAGATGTTCTAATGTTTATAATACACACAAGATGGGTAATTGAGGATATTAAAAATTCTATCTTATCCCATTTTAGAATTTGCAGCCCTTCTATTCTTGCCATTTTACTGGCTTTTATTGGAATCTCAGATGCATGATGAGAACATCTTAAGAAAGGGTTTAGCTTGTACCACAACCTCAAATTCTGAATCATAATCTTATTAGACAAGATAATCTGAGGGAAAAAAAAGGCCAGTAGTAGTTTAGTGACCTATCTAGCTTTGTATGGTCTAGAACACCTTGGATTATTAAATTTTAACCAGTTGTTCTCATCTGTGTTTGGTCAGCTTTTCCTCTGATAAATGATAAATGATTAATGAGTTCCAAGAAGGAAAAATATTTATTAAATCAGATTTCCTGTATTTTTGGGGTTATTTCCTGAGAACATGGCATATGTACTATGCAAGCCAAAATAATTTAATTTTAGTTAGACGTCAGAAGGCTTCTTTACTGAAGCCATAATTTTCCACATTTTCTATCATTCAATTGTATCCTGATTTGAACAAACATCTATTACTATTACAGGAAACATCTTCCTGTAAACTGGTAATTTCCTCTCTGCACCTTCTTTTGTTCATCTTTGGCCAAAAATTATTTGTTGAACTTAAATTTGATTGGCTTGTCAAAGAAGACAGTTCTCTGACCTGGTGACAGAAGATCTGGTCCTGAAGCAGTGGTAGAAAGAGTTCTTGATTCTGAAAATTGTCTTTATTCTGGATGTTGCACTGTACTCGAGCTGCTTTTGTTTTGTGTACCCTCTCATTTAATCCTATAACAAACCTAGGAGGCAAATATGATCTTATAAGTGAGGAAAGAGAGAAATGGAGAGAGTTTGCTGTGATAGAAGCAAAGTCACTGTGCCAGATTTAATCCCATCAGGCCCAGACCCACATCTGCCAAGTGCAAAACACCTCTTCATCCAAAATGTTAGAGACAAGGTGTCTTGAGAATCAGTTATTCAGTGATTGAATGGGTTCTCAGCAAAGTTTGTTTTAAAAAATAATATGTGTAAGTGATTACATGAACATACATAAATATGTTCTATTCTCCTGTCTGTCTTATCTCTTCTTCTGGGTAAACGTTAGGTGAATGATCTTCTAGTGATTCTCCAATGTAGGCTTTAATCTTATTATGATTAACTTGTGTTTGCAGCCCAGTTTAAGATGGAAGCAGGCTTCATTGTTGACCTTACAGTCTGAATTCGACAGCGCGTGAGAGGTTTAATTCTCTCAGGTTATTATAGGAAGACTCTCAACACAATTCTGACCACAAAGCACCTTCTTTAAGTAAACTATGCAGAGTTCTAAGCTAAATCTATGGCCTGACTCCTCAGAACTGAATTTCCTCAAATGAAGCACAGAGCAAATGATTTTCTGGCACACAGAAAATCAGTCCAGTCTGGTAGTGAAAATCCCATGGTGGGGTGGGGGGCAGCAACAACATGTCAGGTAGAGTATTTACCCCGTGGATAAAAATAGCTCACGGATCTCACAAGTCAAAATGCTTTGCTGGTAGTCTACAAACAGCGTGCTTTTACGTCTGCTATGTAAATCAGAGACAGAAAACCATGAGGCACAAGGAAAGTGAAGTCCCTCACTGGGGACAGAACAGCAGGCACGGGCTGGGGCAAAAGCGAACTGATGCAGGGACCAAGTTCTGCTTCCAAGGTGAGTTCTAGAAAAGGAAGCAGCTAAGCATCTCAGGGGTCCCCGGCCTGTGGTGCCAAGGAACAGTTCTCTGAAGAAAGCACCCATTGTTTTGCCATGCAAACTGTCTTTGGAGAACAACAACGACAACAATGAAGTACAGATTGCCAAAGAAGAGCGGGTAAGAAGAGTGAAAAATGTTATTTCACTCGCAAAACAATTCAGCTCACGCTGCTTAATGTCCACACTGGCTTTAACCTACAGTTTTGAGTGAAGACAAACAAAACATGAGATCTAGATCTTTGTTTTAAATTCTAACAGCTTGAACTGCTGGATCACCTTCATGTGATTGCACTGTCATCCTTTAAAGTTAAGTCTACACAGAACAGCTTCTGAGTAAAGGCTTTTAATTGACATCTTGAGGGTTCCTACTTCTTTCATGAAAGATTCCTGCCTTCTTCCAAGGTAGATGGCCATGAGTCCATCACCATAAGTGGTAGAGCCCTGACCCCCACTTGGTAAACAAAGATAGGATCTGAAAAACTAGATAGGTCTGAAGCCTAAATATTTACTGAATGTTTTGCAAGAAAGACTGGAGTGCCAGTAACACTTGGGTGATGACTGTTGCTGTAGTTTACTAAGCCTTTGTTTACTAAGTTCACAGGGCCAACAAGAACAAATTCATCTCCAAAGGGGAAAAAAGTGTGTGCCTGTGTGTGTGTGGGAGGGGGGGGGAAGTAAGTCAAAATTTAGAGCACCCTGTCTCATCAATAGGACAGAGGAAATTCTATTTACTAAAATCCAGGAATCCCATTGCTTAGTTATATATCAGGGTCAGAAAGCAACATGGTATCCACATGTAAATTTTTTCCACATGTGGATCTCATTTCTTTTGCTTTAGAAGGTTGATTTCCCCACTAGTCTGTATCATCTCACTGTGGAGACCAGAAGTCCCTTCATCACACCTCTTCCCTGATCCTCCTTATAAAATAAGCTGCCTTTAACTCTGACCAAAACCTACATAAAACTATCTAAGGAAATACTTAAAGTAACACATGATCAGAAA